AAATTCAAAGATCGGTATCAAAAGTTTTCTAAAGATTCAAAGAATGTTAATGATAAGAGGGGAAAATACACACATAGTAAGGAAAATTCTTATGAACAAAGAAAGTTTAATAGAAAATATGAAAGGAAATGAAAAAAAAAATGCTAATGAAAGACAATTTTTCAACATTACTGTATTAACAAGTGTTATTGACTGGCAATTCTGCATATCTTTTGTTTTATTTTATTAAAGTTCAAAGGAAAATATTTTGGATTGTATGATGTGTTGCTTTCAATGAGTAACTGTTATTGTTTCATTTATTACCCTCTAAACCTCTTTGTACATATTGATCATACCTCATAGAAATGATCTTAATGGTTTCAGCTTGACCCGTTTTCTTCCAGGACCAAAAGTTTTAAGTGATTAACATTTTTCATCTATGCAGTCCATCCATGCTCTGTACAGTTGATTGGTATTTTTGTGCCCCACTAAAGGGTGGACAGTGGACATTTAAATTTGCCCTTGCCCATACTTACCTTGCATCCCTCCATTCCCATGCTGTGCCACATGTAGCTCTAAAACTGCTTGAGCTAGTCAACATTGGAGCGTTCACCTGTGGATTAATTCAATTTTGTTGAAGTTATTGCCCTTGACATAGTAAAAAATGGCAATATACTCGCAGCCTTGTCTGTTCATTGTGCTTTTCCAGAGCATAACTTGAAAACCCTTGGAGATAGTGTGTTTAAAACTTCACACAGTGGTAGAGGGCATTGAGGCAGAGTGCAGTGTCAAAGAAACATAACTCTGTTTTTGCCGTTTTTTAATTATCTCACCTTTTTAGAAAAATCTTGTAAGAGATATCAGCATGAAACTTTGTAGGTAGATAGATCTCAAAAGGTTATATGTGCAGCGGACAAGAACCGTAACTCTGCCTTGACTTATTTTGGAGTAATTGCCCTTTGTTCATTTTTACACTTTGAACATTGTCTGGAACATAACTCGGAAACCATAAATAGTATCAACAAGAAACTTTGTAGGTAGATAGATCTAATTGGGTAGATGTGCTGTTTACAAGAACCGTAAATCTGCCTTGCTAAGTTTTCGAGTTATTGCCCTTTGTTTATTTTTACACTTTGATTTTTGTCCGGGACAAAAACAACACTCCAGAGCAATTGACGTAAGCAAAAAATGAGCCATTGTAAAATGAACGCTACATACTTTAAAAAATGCTCCAGTAAATTGTTTTAGTCTACAGGATCTTCTTCACAGCAATATATGGCTCAAAGCTCTTACAGAAGGCTAATGATAGGAAAAGGCCTGCGTAAAATGGTCGATATTTGACCGGCCGATTAGTTCTTTAACTGTATAAAATCTAAGATATTAACGTAAAATGACTTTATATTCTAGTGCAAACCGTTAGTACAGCAATTGTTTTTATTCCTTTACAGATTCAATTTTGTATAAGTTTGGAGGGTCGTCCTAACATAAGCCCTAAACACAAGCAGTATATCCAGGAGTTTCTGGCATGGCATGGCTGTTTAAAAGCGCAAGTGGTTGAAATCAATAACCTTTACCACTCGGCCCACAGAGGCCCCAAAAAACCTCATTTGAGTCCCTTTAACAGCTCTACATGCATGTGCTAAATTGAGCTTAAAATAGGTACAAGATAATCATTTGTGTACAAAGAATATAACAAGAAACGAACATAATATTACTTTCCTTTTTATTCCACATTTATATAAAATAATAAGTTATATGTAAAAAAATGCATAAATAAAACTTCTATTTTATAGCTAGATATACATCGAGAATAAACTTGACCCTTAACCTGCTGAATTTGTGTAATGGAATTGCCCTAAGATTTTAATTTGGAACAGTCCCATTTCAAAGTTCAAGGGATTTCAGTACCAAAATACAAAATTGGACTACCAAACAGTATAAGAACCTGGATAGACTGCAGGGAAGTCCTGGCTGACCTCGCTCTACACTGGTGGCACAGGATATTCACTTCCGGTTCCAGCAGGTCAAAGGTTTGAAGTTGCACTAAGTTTTCAAAATGATAATATCACAGTTAAGATACCATGTGTGAAACTTTGCCATACAACATTATTGTAAGTTACTGAATACCTATGCAACTGAATAATTTAACATGAAATATTCAAAGATAAAACAACAAGAAAGAACAAGAGGGCCATGATGGCCCTGAGGTCGCTCACCTGTATATAGCCCCCCCGCCCCCCCCCGCCCCCCCCCCCACACCCATAAGAAGATGTTTCGTGCTAAACATCTAAGCTCTAGCTCATTGGGCTTTTTAAAAGAAGATTTTTTTAAGTTTTTACTATACACATATAGATAAAAACAAGGACACCCCTGGGGCCGGGCCAGTTTTGACCCCAGGGCTTTAATTGAACAAACTTTGTAGACACTCACTAGAAGATGTTTCATGCTTAATATCTAAACTCTAGCTATTTGGGTTTTTTCAAAGAAGATTTTAAGTTTTTGCTATACACATATAAGGAAAGTCAATGACCCCCGGGGCGGGGCCAATTTTGACCCAAGGGCTTTTATTTGAACAAACTTTGTAGACACTCACTAGAAGATGTTTCATGCTTAATATCTAAACTCTAGCTATTTGGGTTATTTCAAAGAAGATTTTTTAAGTTTTTGCTATACACATATAAGGAAAATCAATGACCCCCTGGGGCGGGGCCAATTTTGACCCACGGGCTTTTATTTGAACAAACTTGGTAGACAATTATTAGAACATGTTTGATGCTAAATATCTTAGCTCTAGCTCTTTGAGTTCTTTAAATGAAGATTTTTTAAGTTTTTACTATATGCATATAGGGAAAATCAATGACCCCCTGGGGTGGGGCCAATTTTGACCCCAGGGCTTTTATTTGAACAAACTTGGTAGACACCCATAAGAAGATGTTTCATGCTAAACATCTAAGCTCTAGCTCATTGGGCTTTTTAAAAGAAGATTTTTTTAAGTTTTTACTATACACATATAGTTAAAAACAATGAAACCCCTGGGGCGGGGCCAGTTTTGACCCCAGGGCTTTTATTTGAACAAACTTTGTAGACACTTACAAGAAGATGTTTCATGCTAAAAATCTAAACTCTAGCTATTTGGGTTTTTTCAAAGAAGATTTTTTTAAGTTTTTGCTATACACATATAAGGAAAATCAATGACCCCCGGGGCGGGGCCAATTTTGACCCCAGGTCTTTTATTTGAACAAACTTTGTAGACACTCACTTGAAGATGTTTGATGCTAAATATCTTAGCTCTAGCTATTTGGGTTTTTTCAAAAAAGATTTTTTAAGTTTTTGCTATACACATATAAGGAAAATCAATGACCCCCTGGGGCGGGGCAATTTTGTCCCCAGGGCTTTCATTTGAACAAACTTGGTAGACACTTATTAGAACATGTTTGATGCTAAATATCTTAGCTCTAGCTCTTTGAGTTCTTTAAAAGAAGATTTTTTTAGTTTTTACTATATGCATATAGGGAAAATCAATGACCCCTGGGGCGGGGCCAATTTTGACCCCAGGGCTTTTATTTGAACAAACTTGGTAGACACTCATTAGAACATGTTTCATGCTAAATATCTTAGCTCTAGCTCTTTGGGTTCTTTCAAAGAAGATTTTAAGTTTTTGCTATACACATATAAGGAAAATCAATGACCCCCGGGGTGGGGCCAATTTTGACCCAAGGGCTTTTATTTGAGCAAACTTTGTAGACACTCACTAGAAGATGTTTCATGCTTAATATCTAAACTCTAGCTATTTGGGTTTTTTCAAAGAAGATTTTTTAAGTTTTTGCTATACACATATAAGGAAAATCAATGACCCCCGGGGCTGGGCCAATTTTGACCCCAGGGCTTTTATTTGAACAAACTTGGTAGACACTTATTAGTACATGTTTGATGCTAAATATCTTAGCTCTAGCTCTTTGAGTTCTTTAAATGAAGATTTTTTAAGTTTTTACTATATGCATATAGGGAAAATCAATGACCCCCTGGGGCAGGGCCAACTTTGACCCCAGGGCTTTTATTTGAACAAACTTGGTAGACACTCATTAGAACATGTTTCATGCTAAATATCTTAGCTCTAGCTCTTTGGGTTCTTTAAAAGAAGATATTTTAAGTTTTTACTATATGCAATATAGGGAAAATCAATGACCCCCTGGGGCGGGGCCAATTTTGACCCCAAGGCTTTTATTTGAACAAACTTGGTAGACACTCACTAGAAGATGTTTCATGCCAAATATCTAAGCTCTAGCTCTTAGGCTTTTTTAAAAGAAGATATTTAAAGTTTTTTCTTTCGGTTGCCATGGCAACCAGAGTTCTGCATGGAATTAAATTCTTTGAACAATTTTTAAAGGTGAACACCAAAGGAACATTCCTGTGAAGTTTGGATGAAATTGGCCTAGTGGTTTATGAGGAGATGTCATTTAAAGTAAAAGTTTACGGACGCCGGCCGGACGCCGGACGAAAAGCAATCACAAAAGCTCACCCTGTCACTTTGTGACAGGTGAGCTAAAAAATTATTTGAATTTACCAAGCACAAAAATATATATCAGATCCAGGAATGTTTTACTACATTAAACAGATTGGCTTTTATTATTACATTCATTTTATTCAAGTTAATATAACAGAGAAATATTACCTTGGTCTTTGGACAAAACAAAACAACTTTTGATGTCATGTTTGTAAATTTCTAGATTTGAATGAATCTGACTTTTTGTCTGCAGCTTCATTATTATTACAAGACAAGGTGTATCACAACAATTCTGGTTATCCAAATTGTTGATGCTGTATTTATCCTTTATAATACAATAATGACAAAGTCATAATTCAATGTCAAGCTCACCTATTTCACTGAATGTTTATTTTTATTGTCCAGGTCACCTGTTTCATCTAAAAGTTAATTATTTACTGTCAAGGTCACATAATTATGTCACTGAATGTTTATTTTTTGTCAAGGTCACCTGTTTCATTGAAAGTTAATTATTTACTGAAAGTATTTCTCTTTTTTTTTTCAAGGTCACCTATTTCACTGAAAAATCACCCTTTCAAGGACAACTGCATTTACGTGTTCTTCACCAATGGTTCCACACCTATATTATCAAAAGACATTTTTTGAACTGCTGATGATACCTATTTTATTAAAAGGTTATTTTTTCACTGTCAATGACACCTGTTTCACTGAATGGTTATTCCTTACTGTAAGGTCACCTATATTTAAAAGAATGGTCATCCATCACTTTCAAGGTCACAATTCTCAAAGGAAGGTCAACCATCACTTTCAAGGTCCCAATTCTCAAAGGAAGGTCAACCATCACTGTCAAGGTCGCCAATTTCATCTTCATCACCTCCCATTGCTCTCCAGAATGCTATGGCAACCTAATAATAAATACAAAGGATTTATTAAATTCATACTTATTGCCAATTAAGAATTATGAATACAACTAAGAGCAGCGAGATAAGCAATTGTTTCTTTGTTCATCTGTTTTTTTTTTCTCACTAATTTTAACACAATATTATCTCTGCAGTCATTCCACCTAACAGACTATCCAGGATATTTACCACCCAATTACTCTGCAAGTGACCGCCTACCATGATTTCTTAATCTATAGTGCAAGACAAATGACCACAAGAGCACCGCTAGGCGGATCATTAAATGCCCGAAAGTACTTTTTCTTTAAGTAAGGATGAAGCATTTGTAAAACATGGGAATTAAATACAGTATTACCTCCTCAGGAACCTTCAGTTGTTTTCAAAGCACCACCACCAAGTTATTATCGTGTAAGTAAAAATGCTACAACAGATGAAGGAAAAGAAGCCAGGGTATAAAGCTGTTAATCCTATAAAATTTAACAGCTGTAGGTTGATTAATACTTGAGTTATTGAGCGAAAACTGTTTCCAGTTTTAAGAAAATAGTAACCTTGATCTTTGACCTTGTGACCCCAAAATCACTAAGGGTCTCCTATCCAATATGGACAATCATCCTATGAAGTTTGAATACTGTAGGCCAAATGGACCTTAAGTTATGCTCCAGAAACCATTTTCAGTAGCTAATAGTGACTTTGACCTTGTGACTCCAAAATCAATAGGGGTCTTCTATCCAATATGGACAATCATCCTATGAAGTTTGAATACTGTGGACCAAATGAAACTTAAGTTATGCTACGGAAACCATTTTCAGTTTTATGGTAATGATGACCTTGACCTTTGACCCCATAATCAATAGGGGTCTTCTACCAAATATGGACAATCATCCTATGAGGTTTGAAAACTGTGGGCCAAATGGAACTTAAGTTATGCTCCGGAAACCATTTTCAGTTTTAGGGTAATAGTGACCTTGTGACCCCAAAATCAATAGGGGTCTTCTACCCAATATGGAAAATCATCCTATGAAGTTTAAACTGTGGGCCAAATGGAACTTAATTTATGCTCCGGAAACCATTTTCAGTATTAAGCTAATGGTGACCTTGACCTTTGACCTTGTGACCCCAAAATCAATAGGGGTCTTCTACCCAATATGGACAATCATCCTACGGTGTTTGAATACTGTGGGCCAAATGGAACTTAAGTTATGCTCCCGAAACCATTTTCAGTTTTAGGGTAATAGTAACCTTGACCTTTGACCTTGTGACCCCAAAACCAATAGGGGTCTTCTACCCAATATGGGCAATCATCTTATGAAGTTTGAATTCTGTGGGCCAAACGGAACTTAAGTTATGCTCCGGAAACCAAATTGCTAACGGACAGACGGACGCCAGGTGGTATAACATAATATGCCCGAAATTCTTTCGGGCATATAATAAGACTTGATGTCAAAGATCAATTGTCAAGTATAAATTAAGCCTTGCATTAAAGATCAAACCAGCAGCTCCTGGAATTCCAATCCATTGCTCTCCCTAATGAGCTAAGTTGACAATCATGTCATATAAAGTCTATTGACTTTAAGTACCACATAATAATCCTTAAACTGTCAGACATTCCTTCATAAACCGGTTACATAATTATATTTTGCAACAAAAATTTGATATGGTATGACTACAGATACATGCTGATTTTTATTTTGGTTTGGTTTGGTTTTAAATTGCGAGTCCAACAAACACTTTAAAAAGGTGACATGGCAAATTTCCAGATTTTCTGGTGAAGGACTACCCCTGGTGCCCCTCTGAACATTATTCAAAGCAATAGTGGGCATCTGAATATAACCACAGATATTCTATAAATTAGCTGTATAAGGTCTTCTCATGAAAGAATTTAAAAACTCACACAGGTATTGAAACCGTAGCAGTGTAGGTAAAAGTGGTTTGAAATCAACAATCTTGACCGCTTGGACACTGAAGCACATGCTGATAATACGTCGCCTTAGTGCAGAAACAGGTTAACAGTATTAAACCATATAAGAAGTTAACCCATTCCTGCACTAAGGTGACAAGTACTGACATTTGAAAGTTACAGATACTTTCTTCAGAAATTTGACAATGCAATTCTTTTAATGAAAGGCAGGTTATTTGAGAAAATATATTTCACATCTACTATTTACTATTTTCAAAAGGGCTTTATTTGTTTATTTAGCTATAAGTAACGATAGTACTTTATATTAACAAGATATGTTTGTAAAACATGTATGCCCCCTATCAGCAGCCAATTAGTCATGTGATAAGGTTATTATGCATGACTTCTGACCCAGTGATCAAACAATTAATAAGGGTTATCAAGTATCTACTGGTCATGACCTTAACCTTTGACCCCTTGACCCAAAACTCTATAGGGGTCATCTGCTGGTCACGACCAATCATCATACAAAGTTTGAAGTTCCTAGGCCTAAGCGTTTTTAATTAATTGATCGGAAACCGTTTTTATCTTCAAGGTCAATGTGACCTTGACCTTTGACCCCTTGACCCCAAAATCAAAAGGTCATCTGCTGGTCATGACCAATCACCATACCAAGTTTGAAGTTCCTAGGCCTAAGCGTTCTTAAGTTATTGATCAGAAACCTTTTTTACTTACAAGGTCAATGTGACCTTGACCTTTGACCCCTTGACCCAAAACTCAATAGGGGTCATCTGCTGGTCACGACCAATTATCATACAAAGTTTGAAGTTCCTAGGCCTAAGCTTTTTTAGTTAATTGATCGGAAACCGTTTTTACCTACAAGGTCAATGTGACCTTGACCTTTGACCCCTTGACCCCATAATCAATAGGTCATCTGCTGGTCATGAACAATCACCATACCAAGTTCGAAGTTCCTAGGCCTCAGGGTTCTTAAGTTATTGATTTCAAAGCATATGACCTACAAGGTCAATGTGACCTTGCCCTTTGACCCCTTAACCCCAAAATCAATAGGGGTCATCTGCTGGTCATGACCAATCACCATACCAAGTTTGAAGTTCCTAGGCCTTAGGGTTCTTTAGTTATTTATAGGAAACAATTTTTACTTACAAGATCAATGCGACCTTGACCTTTGACCCCTTAACCCCAAAATTAATAGAGGTCATCGGCTGGTCATGACCAATCACCATACCAAGTTTGAAGTTCCTATGCCTTAGGGTTCTTTCGTTATTGATCAGAAACCGTTTTTACCCAATAGGTCAATGTGACCTTGACCTTTGACCCCTTGACCCCAAAATCAATAGGGGTCATCTAATGATCATGATCAATCACCATACCAAGTTTGAAGTTCCTAGGCCTTAAAGTTCTTAAGTTATTGATCGGAAACCGTTTTTGCTTTCAAGGTCAATGTGACCTTGACCTTTGACCCCTTGACCCCAAAGTCAATAGGGGTCATCTACTGATCATGACCAATCACCATACCAAGTTTGAAGTTCCTAGGCCTTAAGGTTCTTTAAGTATTGATCGGAAACCGTTTTTACTTACAACGTCAATGTGACCTTGACCTTTGACCCCTTGACCCCAAAATCAATAGGGGTCATCTACTGATCATGACCAATCACCATACCAAGTTTGAAGTTCCTAGGCCTTAAGGTTCTTTAGTTATTGATCGGAAACCGTTTTTGCTTACAAGGTCAATGTGACCTTGACCTTTGACCCCTTGACCCCAAAATCAATAGGGGTCATCTACTGATCATGACCAATCACCATACCAAGTTTGAAGTTCCTAGGCCTTAAGGTTCTTTAGTTATTGATCAGAAACCGTTTTTGCTTACAAGGTCAATGTGAGCGTGACCTTTGACCCCTTGACCCCAAAATCAATAGGGGTCATCTACTGATCATGACCAATCAACATACCAAGTTTGAAGTTCCTAGGCCTTAAGGTTCTTAAGTTATTGATCGGAAACCGTTTTTGCTTACAAGGTCAATGTGACCTTGACCTTTGACCCCTTGACCCCAAAATCAATAGGGGTCATCTACTGGTCATGACCAATCACCATACCAAGTTTGAAGTTCCTAGGCCTAAGGGTTCTTTAGTTATCACTCGGAAACCATTTGGTCTACGGACCGACGGACCGACAAGTGCAAAGCAATATACCCCCTTTTCTTCGAAATGGGGGCATAATTACTTACATTTTCTGCATATTTTTTTCTTTCTTGTAATGGAAGATTATTGGCCTTTTCTGCAAATATAAAATAATACAATTAAATTTCTAATGTAATAAAATGTTCAATGTTAAGAAAAGCAATTTGAGCCACGTCACGACAAAACCAACATAATGGGTTTGTGACCAGCATGGATCCAGACCAGCCTGCGCATCCACGCAGTCTGATCAGGATCCATGCTGTTCGCTTACAAACCCTATAACAAGTAGAGAAACTGATAGCGAACAGCATGGATCCTGATCAGACTGCGGGGCTGCGCAGGCTGGTCTGGATCCATGCTGGTCGCAAACGCACTATGTTGGTTTTGTCATGACACGGCTCATTTGTTAGATGTGACAATCAATATACACGTAATGCCGATGTTAATAATAAACTCGGGATTTCAGACCCTAATGGACATCAGCTTTTCATTTCTTTTCTAGAAAATTTAAGATGAAGCATATCCATGCCATCTAATCATTGACAGCTATGTTCACTCATCAGTCAGACCTTACTTTGAAAATTACCTAAAAATGATGAATGCTCCATTTTAGATATAAATAGCATGTTAAGGATAAAAGTTATTTCCTTATATTTTTTTTTTTCAATAATTTTATTGACAGATTATGTTTGGTATAATACTAAAATACCAGATCTATACTGTACAATGTATATAATAGTAAAATGAGAACCCTTGAAAAACTAAGTGTCCACGAATGTGTGAGCTGAGGTAGATATGTATGTACTATCACCCTCAAATGAATCTGATATTTATGTACTATCACCCTCAAATGAATCTGATATTTATGTACTATCACCCTCAAATGAATCTGATATTTATTTACTATCACCCTCAAATGAAACTGATATTTATGTACTATCACCCTCAAATGAATCTGATATTTATGTACTATCACCCTCAAATGAATCTGATATTTATGTACTATCACCCTCAAATGAATCTGATATTTATGTACTATCACCCTCAAATGAATCTGATATTTATATACTATCATCTACAAATGAATCTGATATTTATGTACTATCCCCTCAATTCAAATCAAACATTTTAGATTTCTTAGATTAGAAACAGTCACAGATCAGATTACCTTTCATATGTGCAAATTTTTCAAAAAGTTTCTCGAAAGATTCCCCTCCAGGGTCTTCACTGCCAAGTGCCTCAAATAACGCCATATCCTCTGATGGTAACAGTGAATCTAAATAGTCAAAAGAAAAGACATAACAATATTGCACTTCACTTCAAATCTGATTATGTCTACTTGCATATAAGACATGTCTGCAAACACTATGCCATCATTAAACATCCATGATTGAATATACAGCAAAGTTTTGGTGAAATTTAATTAAGTTGAAAATTTGACCTTGAAGGTCATTAAGGGTTCAATGTCATATTTCATTGTGTTAAAATTAAGTTTGATATCTTGTATCTTTAAGATCAGCTAATTAGATTAGAAATCACATTTAGTTGATAACTTACGTGTTAGGGAGAAGTTGTTAATCACTGTTTAATTATTCAGAAAAACTGGTTAAAAGTGAACCAGTTATTCAGATATGACCTAAAATGATTTAAAATGGGCATTAAAACTAAAACTATAAGCTGTAATTTGACCACCTGAAACTTCAACAGGTATTTGATTAACTTAAACTTTCATTACCCTGGCAGGATGAAAAGGGGCTGAGGTAACAATGACTGGTGCAAAATTTTAGACCTGCGCAAACTAATTAATCATTTTAGACTAAATTATTGTACAATATTGACAAAATACAGTCAAATAAACCATTTTTTTTTATTAAAAAAAAACCCAACAAATAAAAGCTATAAATAACAACAGTAATTATTCAAATGATCTATATCTTTACCTAATCTTTCCTCTTTAGACTGAGTCTTTGCTTTTTTCTTAGATTTTTCCTTTTTACTATTACCACATGCTCCTTCAGTATTTTCATCAGTTTTTTCATCACTAACATCCATTTTATTATTATCACAGTTATTTTTAACTTTTTCTTCTGTCACATGACCGTCACATGATACCGACTGGTTCTCAGAATTGTCTGTTTTTGAATTTTCAGAACACAGTCTATCATTTTGAATGGTTTCATTTTCAGAATCTTTGCTATTGTTACTGTCACATAGATTTTTGTCATTGTTTAATTGCTTTGCTTCATGCTCTTCCTTCATTAGTTGTCTCATAAATGGACTCGCCACATGTTGTTCGTCTGAAATGAAACATACCCTAATTTAACTCTTTACTACCTATTTGAAAAAATGGACTTGCCCTGATTTAAATTTTGAACAGTCCATTTTTATTTAAAGGAGGTTTCAGTATCTAAAAAGCAAAAACTGGGCAGCATACAGACAGTATAGTCTTTCACTAGCTCTATCTAATATTATTATTATTTATTTCTATTTTTTTTTTAGGCAAACTAATTGTTTATATCTGTGCTAGCCAGTGTTTTGCTTTTGTAAATAGGTTGTAAGTTTTTTTCCTCGTCTTTTGTTAAACTATTATTTTTTATAACGATTTACACACCAATACTATTGTCCTTTATCATTTAACTAAATGTCTTTTAATAGCAACAAAGATTAATTACGGAGTACTTACTTATGAATATAATACATAATCATTAAAAAAAAAGCCTTTAATGTTGAAATAATTATAAAAAAAATTTAATTTCAATAAAAATTTGTAAACCCGACTGACATAAATTTGTCCAAAATTCTTGTAGAAACAAAACAGACATAAAAGTGTTTATAAGTCTATGTATATTTCTTTTAAACAGCTGTTTTTGACAAAACACACCATAATATACAAACTTATATAATTGCTCTATATACAGTATAACTAAAATATTTACAATACAAACTCAATACTCTCACCACTGTAGGTTCAAGCCAGTCATCGCTGGAAACTACATGTGAGAAACTTACCCAGCTAGCTTAAGGAATGTTGGTGGTTCTACTCAGGTGCCCATTTGTGCCTGAAATAATGTATGTACAAATGGAACCAGAGGTCTGCCTCCATCAGTAAAGCTGGAAAATTGCCATACCGTGTTGCTGTGATGACCCCCCCCCCCAAAAAAAAAAAGAAGAATATAATTCCGACAAACTAACTCCATAATAATAACTAAGTATGAAATAAGTATTACCTTTGAGATTTAGATTTGGCCACGTGTGAGCATGTAGAGATTGCACAATCCTCTTAATACCTGTAGTCTCCAGGAAATCATCTGAAAATCAATCAATCAATGTCAATCGTAAAATATATATTGCAGGGGAGAACTGTTTCCTGATGTTGTAAGAACCCATAGTTCAACCCTTTTGCTACTTCTGTATTAATATTTTAATAATATACTGTTAAAAATGTGTACCAAAAGAGCAATAAAATATGTTTAAATCAACAAAAAAAAAATCTTAAAATATAATAATCTTCCAATATGTTAGCTAAATAAACAAAATTAAAGACATACAGTTGTCACCAGGTATAGTGAACTTGGATATAGCTTACACTTCCATAGACAGAAAACACTTGCTAGGTCCCAATTATGTACATATGAGCCGCATCATGACAAAACCAACATAATGGGTTTGCGACCAGCATGGATCCAGACCAGCATGATCATCCACGCAGTCTGATCAGAATCCATGCTGTTCGCTATCAGTTTCTCTACTTGTAATAGGGTTGGTAAGCAAACAGCATTGATCCTGATCAGACTGCGCGGATGCGCAGGCTGGTCTGGATCCATGCTGGTCGCAAACCCATTATGTTGGTTTTGTCATGACACGGCTCATATCTACTTCTAGTCATTCTTTGCCACAATACTTGCATTAAATATAACATGCAACATTATTTTTTGGGGCGTCCGTGGCTGAGTGGTTAAAGTCGTTGACAAACCACTTGCCCCCTCACCACTGTTGGTTCGAATCCTGACAGGGCCTTTGGATTCTTTCATGTGAGGAAGCTATCCAGCTAGCTTACAGAACGTTGGTGGTTCTACTCAGATACCTGTTCATGCCTGAAATAATGCAAGGAAGGGCATCTGAGGTCTGTCTCCACCAGTTAAGCTGCAATGTTGCCATATGACCTATACTGTGTCACTGTCGATGTGACTAAAACCCAATCAAACAAACATTATTTATTTTAGCAATTTCCTATAACGGGTTCTGTGTATATACATGTATAAAATATATAGTAAATGTTAATGTCACAATTTATCTTTGTCCCCAAAGGTTGTTTATTATGATTTGATGTCACACCTGTTGGAAAGATGCTTTTGCAAAACATGTTTTACAAAATTCCACAATAAAGGGCTTTTTTTTTTCATTCCCAAATGGCTGATTTTTTTAAATAAAATCTGCAATTTTACCTTTACCATACTGAATATCTTAAATAGAATGATACACTTTTCAATCTGGACAAAACCATTGATCATTTTCATGGAAAATTTTAAAATATGTATTGACTAATAGTGCAGACCATGATCAGACAGCATGGATGTGCCAGCTGATTTTGGCTCGCAGTGGATGCATTGGGAAATTTAGTTGCCCCTGTAGCAGGCAAGGAGTTAAACAAGAGTGCCGCTAGGCAGAGCATTATATGCCCGGAAGTATTTTTTTTAGCAAGGATGAAGCATTTGTAAGACATGGGAATTAAATAAAGTATTACCTCCTTCAAAAAGCAATCCTCCTTTATAGCTGAAGAACCTTCATATATATACAGTTGCTGTTTCCAAAGCACCACCATCAAGTTGTTATCTTGTAAGTAAAAATGCTACGACGGATGGACGGAAAGACGCCAGGGGTATAACATAATATAAGCAAATTTTTTAGGGCATATAATTAATGTACTCAATATAAGTGATCATCCTATGAAGTTTGACAGTTGTAAAACTCTTAATAATATTAAGGTCATTTGATATTGACCTTTGACCTTGTGACCCTAATATAGATCATTTGACCTTGTGATCCCAAAATAGGGGTCTTCAACCCAATATTGACAATCATCCTATGAAGTTTGAACACTGTTGGCCAAATGGAACTTAAGTTATGTCCAGAAACCACAATTTTCAGTGTAAAGATCATTGTGACCCTGACCTTTGACCTTATGACCCTAAAATCAATAGGGGTCATGTATTGGACATGGCTGTTCATCCTATAAAATTTTACAGCTGTAGGTTGATTAATACTTAAGTTATTGAGCGGAAACTGTTTTCAGTTTTAAGGTAATAGTGACCTTGACCTTTGACCTTGTGACCCTCAAATCAATAGGGGTCTTCTACCCAATATGGACAATCATCCTATGAAGTTTGAATATTATGGGCCAACTGGAACTTAAGTTATGCTCCAGAAACTGTTTTCAGTTTTAAGGTCATAGTGACCTTGACCTTTGACCCCCAAATCATTAAGGGTTTTCTACCCAATATGGACAATCATCCTCTGGAGTCTGAATATTGTGGGCCAAATGGAACTTAAGTTATGCTCCGGAAACTGTTTCCAGTTTTAAGGCAATAGTAACCTTGACCTTTGACCTCAAAATCAATGTGGGTCTTCCACCCAATATGGACAATCATCCTATGAAGTTTGAATATTGTGGGCCAAATGGAAGTTAAGTTATGCTCCGGAAACTGTTTTCAGTTTTAAGGTAATAGTGACCTTGACCTTTGACCTTGTGACCACAAAATCAATAGGGGTTTTCTATCCAATATGGACAATCATCCTATGAAAAAAGTTTGAATATTGTGGGCCAAATGGAACTTAAGTTATGCTCTGGAAACTGTTTTCAGTTTTAAGGTAATAGTGACCTTGACCTTTGACCTTGTGACCCCAAAATCAATAGGGGTCTTTTACCCAATATAGACAATCATCCTTTGAAGTTTGAATATTGTGAGCCAATAGAACTTAAGTTATGCTCTGGAAACTGTTTTCAGTTTTAAGGTAATAGTGACCTTGACCTTTGACCTTGTGACCCTAAAACCATTAGTGGTCTTCTACCCAAAATGGACAATCATCCTGTGAAGTTTGAATATTGTGGGTAAAATGGAACTTAAGTTATGCTCCGAAACCAAATTGCTAACGGACGGACAGACAGACGGATGCCAAGGGGTATGACATAATATGCCCAAAATTCTTTCGGGCACATGAAAATTGAACGACAACTTTAAAAGTTACATTAGTAGACATATATGCATAGTTTCAACTTTTCTATAAGAGAGATATATAGAGATATGTAAACATATACTGCATTTACCTTCAGTTTCACTGTCACTCTCAGTTTCAGGATTCAACTCAACCAGTTCAAACCCATTATCTATACACCATGTCTGTGCTTCAAGTCGACCAACAGCTGACAAAATAATTATTATAACCATTTCATTATTTCATATATACTTATTCTATATACAATTGACTGAAATCTTTCATTGCTTTAGTTATTACAGAAAAACAACTAATTTTAATAATTAAAACAAGAAAAGAAGCTGAACGGAAACAGACAACAAATCAACCAAACGTAACACAAGTGAGCCCAACTGCATAAGGAATTTTCTCAAATCCAAGTATTTTAAAAAACACTATAATAAATTAAATAATATTTGATTTTTCCGCAACAACAGATTGAGCAAGTGACCAGAAATATTGCATAAAGGTTATTGTTCTTAATCTTTATCAAATGGTACAAATATTTCAAAAGTAAAAAAAAATCCAATCTCAGTGGAGTCCCTTTAAGTTTTGGGATTTTTGTTTTGTTTTTTTGTTATCTCTAATTTGGTATTTGACTGTTATGACAAATCACATACATCATAATAAAATTATGATCATAATAACAATAATAATCTAATTATCTTATAAGATGGTCAAGTTTTACAGATCTGATAAACCATTCTTTCGAAGACAACATAGACACAAAGGTAACACTAAATATTTACCAGAATCATCCAAGCATCTGTCACATACTAACATCTTAATCTCTGGATCTATCTCCTTTAGATAAGCATTCCATAGTTTTACTGATTCAAAACTTTCTTTCTGCAACAAAAAATATCTAAGTTAGTAATATATAAGTTAAATTTGAGATTGAAATTAAAACTGTATTGTTCAAACTTCATCTATGATGTTATTTGTTACTACAGAACAACAGATATCACAGTACTATTTTAATAATGCATATAACTACATGTACACATATATTATAAAGAAACAGGTCTATTGTGACTACTGTCATTAAGTATCCTGCTCACTTAACAGCACATACCATGTATAGGAATAACACTGAATGGCCTTCTATTTTCTAACTGTAAATAATAACCCAGGAATCTCATTTAATAAGGTACCCTTTTTCATTATTGGTTATTTCTGGGTTACACAACATGATTCAACAAAACTATCTAAATTTGATACTTTTATCTCCTTCAAGTTTGTTTACCTTTTCAGCATTGAAGAAGACCACAAAAGCATTTACTGACTCTGCAAACTGCTTATCTCCTATGGTCCTCTTCTTTGTCATACATAGTCGTACATCAGCTGTATAATATTTAGTATTAATACTCCAGTCATAACTTAATATATCCTCGATCACCTTCTTCCCTTCTGGTAAACACTCAACCTCTAGGATTTCTGAAAATAAAACAACTTGATGTAACAGAAATTTAGGTGAAAAGATGTCAAGTGTCATGTTTGTCTTGTTGTTAAAAGCTCATTGGCATACCAACACAATTTAGAACATTTTAAGCTAAAACATGAAACAAGGTTGTGCCTAACAAACTTAAAGCAACACCTTTACCTGGAGGCTGGAGCTAAGGGTTGCATTGACTTATTTGAACATTACTCGCCTCTTACCATCATGAAGGAATAAACAGTGGCTGCAGTTCTGATGCCCCAATACTTTAAGGCAAAAATGGTGAATTTAAACTTATTATGAAGTGTCGGTCGGTCTATTTACCCCTAGACTACCCCAAGACTACCCAAAGACACCCCTAGACTAATCCAAGACACCCCAATACTACCCCAAGACACCACAAGACCACCCCAAGACACTTTTACTGACATGTAAATACAATACGGTGTTTACGGGAGGTAACTATGCAATTTCACATACATTGAATTATCTCCCTTCATTTATTTCCCTGTATTTTTTTGTAAGATTATAAATAGATTCTTTTTTGTGCAAAATAGTTTACAACAATGAAATAATGCCAAGGTTGCGGGGTTTTGGTGTAGTGCAAGTTTAATTCTGCGGCAATGTCATTTTATGAGTGACACATTTTTGATGCCTGATTATTAAATCGATCAAATTCTGTTATATATTTTTTTAATTTCATCTGCCCCACATTTCGTTAGATTAACATAGTCTTATTGTTTCAGTAAAATTGATTTTAATCAAAATATTTTTTTCTTTAAAGAGCATACAGTATATTTTAAATATTTTAGTGATGAAAAAAAGCCCGTATACATAATTAACAATATTTAATGTATTGAACAGTAATTACAAGATGACAGGTAAATAATCAGCCGTCGTATATAATAAAACTTTCCCAATTTACACAATATGTAAGTTTTTTTGGGTAGTCCTGGGACTAAAAAATGTGTATATTTCTGTCCCAGATTAGTCTTGGGGTATATACCGACCCATGAAGTGTTACTGTTAAGTAACTCACCAACTTTTCATACTTTGGTTGGAAATGTCAAAAATTAATTTACATTATCATGGAGCTAAATATACATATCTGTAGCATTATGGATATGAAACTCCTAGGTGTGAACTTGCTTGGACCTGAAATAACCTTAGTTTGACTTATATTTGTCAAATTTATCTTTAACAAAACAAATTATGGTTAAAATTATAAAAAAATTTCCTCGCTATGATAAATAATTCGAAAGATCTTATTGGTTTAAACATATTTATTTAAGCTCGATTGCGAAACAAGTTCTTGCAACTTATATTAATCACTTTCGAGTCCGCTTCCTGGAACCAACCAGTACTGGTGTCATATGAAGAAACATGGTCGTGACCCGGGTAGGGCTCGAACCCATGATCTCTGGGTTGAGAGGCAGACACCTTAACCACTAGGCCACCTCTCCCGAAAGATCTTATGAAACAAATAAAGTATTAATTCTTTTGATAACATATTTTAATGTGAGGTCAACCTTTAAGAAGGTTTCCAACAGAATATTCAGAACATGAAGTAAATAAAATGCAAGGGGTGGCCATTTTTTTAACCGGAAGTGCATAAAACGTCATCAAATTATGTACCATTCCGGATTGTTTCGGATATTTTCGTAATGAATAAGCCCGAGGATATCCGAAAGCTGTTTACTGTTGCTGAGGAACCTAAATGGCTGCAGATTAGTGATGACAAGTTGATACACTGATTTATGCACGTGAATGAATTGATTTAAATTGAGAAAAATGATGACGGATATAGAACATCGACCTGAGGATGTTGGGCAAATATTGATAAAGGCAAGACATTTATTGACATTTAAAACAACATTTAAATCATAAATTCTTGTCAGTAACAGTGCATTGCCATATGCTTTCAATTCATTTGAAGGTTTGTTTTGTCATGTTATTAAGTTTTAAACATTTGCATTTTATTATCGCCCTTTGTAAAGTCCCTGCTTTACTGAGTATATCAGTTGTTAAAATCCCTGCCCAAAATTTACAATAACAATCAAAACAGAAACCACCACAACATATTGAAGCAGCTACATGTAGGAGACTAAGAGTAGGGAGACAAGTAAAACAAAATGACATCACATCCCTCCAGCTATCCCGCCCTTCCCTGGATGTTTGTTGTTGGCAGTTACAATAAGTCATTGAAATTTAGATACATAGGATAAATTGTTAGATGCTGTCCACAGTGTTTCCACTACTCTGCATTTCTTGTGTTTTTGATGCAATAATTATATCACGAATGATGCATTGAAAAACGCAAAGCGCATTTTCTTTGACGCAGTCATAATCTGCCTTACATGTAATTAGATGCATTTTCATTAAGTTATTTCTCCTATTATAAGCACCATCCCGTTAAAATCGGCAATTAATGTTTGAGTTTCCGAAATGGCCATCTGCGGGTATGTATAAATTGCTAACCTATTCTGTGTCGTTATCGGCACAACATTTAACCGTTCTACAATAAGTCACGGTATCCGGGATTTAGACATGCATGGTCTGGGTGTAAATGGACATTTGTGCATGCAGACGCTTTTCTCACAATGGCAAGCACACCACAAAAGATAGAGGCTTATGTCAGTGACTAGATAACAATGAATGCTATCAACATCTCTGCTTTAGTGGCCAAAAATATCAAAGTTTCTGCAATAAACAGACATATGACAGGTTAAATGTTTTAATGCAAATAAGATTTGGTTTTCATTTGCAACCGCAAAAAGTGAGAAATTGAAGTTAACATATGAAATCAAACAATTATGAGATTTACTTTTGTATTTTTTACTTTCTCAAAATTTGACCCATAATAATTTCAAGTGACCCCCATATTTTCATACAGAGGGTCACAAATGACCCCAAAAAATCTAGTCTGGCAGAAACACTGTCCAATGTGTTAAATGGCAGCTGCTCTAACCCCATCCCTGTAATTCCTCAGGTATCCCCCAAGGCTCAGGTCCATGACCCCTCCTGATTCTTGCCTATATAAATGACCTTCCACAAAACTTGAATTCCCAGGTCCGCTTGTTTGCAGATGATACTGCATAACTGCAATATACATTGCTCTGATATCTAGACTACAAACCGGTCACCCTCCAAATGAACTTAATTGGTTAGAAAAGTGGGAGTAGGAGTGGGATATGGAATTTAACCCCTCCAAGTGTCAAGTTATCAACGTCACAAAAGGGAAACATCCTTTCCCAACACAATATTATCTCATGGAGTCCAATTAGAATCAGTTACCTCAGCTAAATACCTAGGCATGGATATATCAGAAAACCTTACATGGGATGCCCATATAAACAGGACATCCAAGAAAGCAAACCAAACCTTAGGATTCCTACGCAGAAACATAAATGTTTAATTCCAATCCATTCAGTACATTGCTTTCCAGACTTTAGTCAGACCCTAGCTTGAATATGATTCCAAGGTATGGTCTCCCCAATACAAATAGATCAAATTGATAATGTCAAAAGAAGATCAGCCTGATGGGTCAAGCTAGATTATGGTCAGACTTCACTCAATTAAACTTCTGAAACTCAGGTACTCAGATGTATATATGCTACATGTAGGTTATCCCTTTTCTATAAGATTCACCATGGTCTGGTTGCTATCCCCATAGAAGAATATGTGACACCCCTCTCCCTGAACATCACACCATGGCCATTCCCTGTGTTATAGGTTATTCACAGTAACTTCAGACTGTTATTTTTCTATTCTAGGACAGTATGCCACTAATGAACCACCTAATCCCTGCAGTCACCTACTCCCTACCTCAGAGCAGTTCATTGCAGCCAATTAGCTTGCATTGAACATGTCTCACCCTAGTTTTCCAGACCATGTTTTTAACATTTTTAATATTCTTTTATCCTCTTTTAAATCAACTCTGTTTAACTTTCTTGCGATTTCGACACGCAGACATGTCTATGTCCCCGCGAGGGGTTTGACATTAGTGGAAGATAGATATGAAATTATTCTGTTTAACTTTCTTGCGATTTCGACGCGCAGACATGTCTATGTCCCCGCGAGGGGTTTGACATTAGTGGAAGATAGATATGAAACTATTCTGTTTAACTTTCTTGCGATTTCGACGTGCAGACATGTCTATGTCCCCGCGAGGGGTTTGACATTAGTGGAAGATAGATATGAAATTATTCTGTTTAACTTTCTTGCGATTTCGACGTGCAGACATGTCTATGTCCCCGCGAGGGGTTTGACATTAGTGGAAGATAGATATGAAATTATTCTGTTTAACTTTCTTGCGATTTCGACGTGCAGACATGTCTATGTCCCCGCGAGGGGTTTGACATTAGTGGAAGATAGATATGAAATTATTCTGTTTAACTTTCTTGCGATTTCGACGTGCAGACATGTCTATGTCCCCGCGAGGGGTTTGACATTAGTGGAAGATAGATATGAAATTATTCTGTTTAACTTTCTTGCGATTTCGACGTGCAGACATGTCTATGTCCCCGCGAGGGGTTTGACATTTAAGTGGAAGATAGATTGATGGATATGATAAACCATACTGGCATGCAAGTAATTACAGCACAAAAGAAGCACATTGTACTTATATTTTGCATACAATCCATTTACATTTGTCAACTGTTGAGTGTTTCTTTGATCAATTGAAATCCCATTGTGCAGACAACATGATACTGAATTCATGTTAGGTAGTAGATAAACAAATTCTGAGATTTTAAAGAACTGTATCAGTTATCATATGTGTTATCCAAACAGGACCTTGTGAATACCAAAGCTTCCGGGTTGTGGCAGGTGTGCACAGAAATTCTGCCATATGATGACCCTTTAAGTTTTGTTGTTCTGCAACAATACCTATGATCTGTGGACAGAATGGAAAAATAAACTAATAGTCTATGAAAACTTCACCTAAAATTTCTCCTATTTAGCTTGAGTATAAATGAATTGATTTCTTTAAGGTGTAATTAATCATGCCCAAACAGTGGCTTAATGATATGTAAATCATGTTTGAGTGGGTGTATTAAATTTTTATATTATAACTGAAGTTTTTGTTTGGAAACTACATTGTATCATATACCAGTATGAACTTTTCTTTAAAGATCATAATGTGAAGTTATTAATTTTGAGTTTTTGAAAATAATGTAATAGTAGATGAATACCTTTCATTCATTATATAATATTCAAAACCTACGTCTGACTGCCTAAAGCACCTTAAAGCATAATCTCATTTTCCTGTCCCTTAAAGTTATTATGTAATCTTTGTGTCACTTGAAGAATGTTGTATTTTTAATTCTTGCATTATTTTTTTTTACAGAAGTGTATAACATCCAGTCCTATAAATATGACGTTGCTTTTTTTAAGATACATTATATGAAACTTCTTGCAAAGCCCAATATGTCAATAAAACTGTCACAAGTGCTTAATGTTTAAATTTTGGACTAAGTAACTGTTGGACCACCTTCTATGATATTCTAGGGTTTTTTTCTTCAGCATTTCATTAAAGAAATTTTGAACATTCTACTGTCGCTGACATATTTTTAAGTTATAAATATTTTTAACAGGTTATATGGCCCACTCACAGTATAAATGGTTATAAGCTTATATTACCGGGGCTAATGAGTGAGGGTTAATTGTAATATTCAAAGCAAAGTTGCATTTAACAACTGTTTTTATAAGGTCATATAAACTTACAGAAATGAAATAGATAGCTTATTTCTTTTTCATATTTTTACCAGTTGGTGAAATTTAGACTTTCTACAGCTAGGTCCCTTAATTTGCTCATTTCATCTGAGCACAGCTTTGCCCTATGATTTTTTTTTACTGTAATAGCCGTGGTATCCCTACTTTTCAACATTAAAAGAAAATAAATATTAAAAAATTGATACAGTAAATTCTCTCTATTAAGACCACTTACGGGACTGACTCAAAGTGGTCTTAATAGTGAATTGGTCTTAATAGTGAATAAGTCACTTTAATAGCTGACGAAGTCCAACTTAACTTAATGTATACCTTGTATAGTTTTATGCACATGGCAAATGTACTTGATTAAATGAGTAAAAAGAAACACATATTTTTTTTAAACAAAAAACATTTTTAATGCATGATAATTATAAATATGATACATCATTAACATAATGAAAATATTAATTTACAGCTAGTGTGTTAAGTCTCCCCTTTAGAAGAAAAATATGAGGTATAAAATATGACTCTCATTATGATTTATACATTAATTTCATATCGAAATAAAGCACACATGAACCACAGGCAATCGTTGTGTGGCTTGGATAGTGTACATGTACATGCATCTTATAGTAATTATGGATGAAATTTTTAAAAACAAATTTCCTTTGTTGATTTATTGAAAATAAGATATTTTAAAAACATTTTGAATGAAAAAATATTTTAGTGAAAAAAAAAGTTATAAAAAATAAGTGGGCGTGGTCATGTACATGTATACTATCCAAGCCACACAACGATTGCCTGTGACATGAACTGAAAATTTGGTGTAATTTTCAATTTTTACCATACTTGCTATACAATGTGATGCACAACAACCAATTTTAAATGCTATTTACCTGTTTATTACATCCTAATTACGCTGACAAATTAATCGTTTCTCACACCATAGGTGCTTAGATTAATTAGCCAGAAGTGGTTTAAACTGATCATGTTGACGCTTGAATGCTAAAGATACATCGTAAAGCAAGCGTCTAATCAATTGATACATATTAATGACCTCGTTTGACCCGGTGTATTTGTTTACGCCAGAGGGAAGATTACGACAATTAATGGGGGGGCAATAAACACAAAGT